ATAATTCTTCTTTTTCTTCCTCTCAGAAGAAATCACAGAAGCACGGCGGAGGTGCGAATGAAACAGAGTTCTTTCTGTAAAATTGAACGACCCTAGCAGCCACGTTTGCTCAGCCATGTCTTTGTCAAAATATGGCGTCGCCTTTTCTTCTTAGAGCAGCACATTTCACCCTAATGAGCTTCATATTCCTCTTCTACTGTTTGGCTTAAGGTTAGACGAGTCTGAGTAGCGCCATCTCACTGCGGAGCTGATACCGACGTAGTTTTTTGACGTAGAGTGTGAGCAGGTAGATCGCATCAGAGCGTCGGGCCACACAGTATGAGAACATACATTGTGAGCTGTGAACTCGCATTGTACGATGAAACGGCAGGGTTTTCGTAGTACAGTGTGAGCTGTAGCAACGATTGAAAAAAATCGCACAGTGAATGCCAGGCTTTACAGGAGAACAGATGACCCCGCCTATTCAGCCAGGCCAACAATTCCCTTTAACGACCCCCCTTTTAGAGACATAGACAGGTATAGGGCATTGCAGGCTAACAAAAGAAGCCAAATGACCCCCATTCCAAAGGGATGGACCCGTTCGTCCGTATCAATTTGCATGTTTTCTAAGCCAAAAAAATGCTTTGTTGGGCTACTATATAAAGCCTTGAACTCAACTTTATTTCTGACATTTTGAATTGAAAAAGCTTCCTGGATGGGAAGAGAAATGTCTTCAAAATTCAAAGTCCAGTGGATTGTTTTTAACTTTTCTGGAAAGCTGAAGGGCAGTTACTGAAAAAGAAAAATCATCTCGGTATTAAAAAGGCAATCTGAGTAGATGTATGTAAATCCAATGTTTGGTAAGATGGGAGTAATGATGGAAACATGTTGAGGGTTCAGGTCTTTGTTATCCAGTTATGGAGCACACTGCAGTAGGCTAACAGTTATTGGCAGCTAATAGGTTAGAAATTAGTTTTCCTCAAAGTTTCTTTCCTCTGTGTTTGTTGTTTGGAACTGATTTTCAAGTACGATAAACGTTGCTCTGCTTGCTGGACTTGATATTTAAGGCACACATTTATTTCCCTTCCAGTCATTTTACTCTCGATTGTTTTAAGTGTGAAACCAGTTATTGTTTCAGAAGTGATGCTGACTTTTTTTTTTTTACTAAAATGTTATAATCTTAAGTGCTGCTATTTTAAACATATTTTGGTGTAGAGATTAGAGCCAAAGGTAAAGTGATGTGCTGGTAAAGATGTTTCCACCTCATGCTGACTACAACTATCACTTTAATTATAACACACCTTCACAGATGATTACAAAAAAGTTGAAAAAAACAATCCACTGGACTTTATTTCCAGTCGGGCTCGGACTGGGAACGATTTTCGGCCCTGACATTTTTCCATCTACACCGGCCCACCTATGGACCACAGTGGATGCCCAGCTCTAATCAGCTATCAGATTTACTGAAGTG